CATGCCCTCCTCCAAGCGATCTTCCCAAGCCAGGGACTGAACCCAGGTCTCCCGCAGGCAGATTCTTTACAGCTGAGCCACTGGGAAAGTTTAGTGTTAGGATTAGGGTGGCACAGAAGCCCATATTTTTGGGGTTAATGAGTTTGTTTTAAGTATACTCTGGAGACAGAATATAGCTTCTGCTGCGTCCATGAAAGACTACAACTAAAAGTAAAGTAACTTGGTTAAATTTTTTGATATAAACCCCTGGTCACTGGGCTTCCCTGGCAGCTCAGATGGTAGAATCTGCCTGCAATGCAGGAGACCTGGGTTCTATCCCTGGGTCAGGAAGAGCCCCTGTAGAAGGAAATGGCCACACACTCCAGTATTCTTCCTTGGAGAATTCCATGGACAGAGGTGCCTGGTGGGCTACTGTCCACAGGGTTGCAGAAAGTCAGACACAGCTGGGCAGCTAACACTTTCACTTTTCACTCCTGGTCACTAGCAATTGATCTGAGCATTCTTTAGTCAATACAGGTTTGCATCCAGCTTCAGAGTGTGAACTAGGAACAGCAGGTTGCATTAGCTATACTGTGGTTTATTTCACTCATGGTACAGATTAATTTTCTGCTTACTTTCCACGTTTCATAGAAAAATAAATGTATATGCATAATAGAAAATGGAGACAGCTACTCAATTCCCTGAATTAGATCTATTTTACACCTAAATATCTCAATGAAAATAACTTGTGGAACTGAATGTTTCTGTGTATTGGTCTCAACTGAATTCTCCACTTTATTTTCAGGTATTAATAGACCCCCCTCTCCTCACTCCCTGAAAAACAATTATTGTTTTCTTTTATTCCTTTATTTTGGCCATGCTATGTGCTTGCAGGATCTTGGTTCTCTGGCCAGGGATCAAACCTGTGACCCCTGTAGTGGAAGCACAGAGTCCTAACTACTGGACTGCCAGGGAATTGTTCCTCACATCTTCTTAAAGCAAAAATAAAATATTCCTTGACATATATTAGACAGGTCTAGATGGGCTTCTATTATGTGAGCAGGACTAGAAATTCAATTATTATTAAAAGAGGTACAAACTTTCCTTCACTTTCATAAGAACTTAGCATAGCAAAAAAATGCTAAAGATAATACAAACTCTGTACTTCATTACTTATTTATGCCTAAAATTGGATTCTTGATCTTGTACATACACTCAAGATACTCTCTCCCCAGTCCTTTCCATCTCAGTTAGCGGCAAAGTCATTTTTCCAGTGTCTCAGAACACTTCAGAGTCATTCATTGGTTCCTCTATGACCTCACATTATGTTATTCTTCTTTCTGGGTCACTCTTCTTCAGTTAAAGTGGCCTTCTGGACATTCCTGCAACTTACCAACCCTGTTCCCACTTCAGGGCCTTTGCGTGCGTTGTTCTCATGGTCTGGAATGCTCTTTCTTTAAACATCTGCAGGTACTGCCTTCACTTTCTTCAAGTCATTATTCAAATAACACTTCCCCAGTGAGCCCTACCCTGCTAGTCCAATATAAAAATCACAATTCTCTTATTCCTTCTGTGCTTTATCTTATTCCATAATCTCTTCTCTGTTGTATAATTTTTCCACCTTTAACACTAATGGCCTTTTAATATATAATTTGAGTATTCATTTCACTTATTGTCCAACTCCTTCTAGAATGTGAGTTTGATTTTATCCACAGTTTTGTTTTATCCACTGCTATATCTGTTGCTCCTAGAATATTGCCAGGCATACTATAGGCCCATCATAAATAATTGCTGAATAAATGAGATAATTAGCACCTATTACTAACTCTCAACAAATAGACCCTATTTTCAAAGGTAGAAATGTAAAAGTTGTTTGTTTCCAACACAAGAGGTATTATATATTAGATTCTATGGGAATGGAGCAACTTGTTTCCATAAGTCTAGAGAGGTCAGGGGCCCGATGAAATCCTGATATTCTCTGATTCTCTTCCCCCTGAAGTGTTGAAAACATGATCATTTTCTAGCAGCCAAGCACTAATTTTAAAAGATCCTGGAATATTAAACCTGCAATGAGAATTTCCTAAGAGGATGGATCACGATTATAGTTCTACAAGCTGCTTTTAGTATTTCTTCTCTCATCACTTTGCTGCTCTTCCTACTTGGAAATATATGAATATAATTGGAAGGTTTGGGAAGCCAATTTGATTACACTGAATAATTATGTGCTGTACCTCCTCCAGTGTATGAATAAATTTAATTAATATATATCTTTCTCTGTCGGTCTTTTAAAATGCACATAGTTGAACATCCAAGTTGGTCTAAAGCAAGAGTCTGACAAATTTAGTTAATTTTTGGAAGCATAAATATGAAAGCTAAAATTATTCTGCACACCTTTAAGATCCATCTTTTGGTCATTCCTATTTAAAAGAAGCACAGAATTTTAGGGCTACAAGATTGTATTTTACTTGGCTTGATTGCCTTATTTTATGAAAACTGAGCCCCCAAGATACAAAATGACTTCCCCAGGTACCATGGAACTCAATAACTGTTTTGTTTGGTCGAAACTTCTTCTAAGATTAAAACAAGGTAACTCTGGTATTGCCACTGAAAACTTGTTCTTGGTATAAGGAAATTAACTGACTATAGCAACAATGGAATTCTAAACAATATGCAGTCTTACCCAGTTTATTTCCAAGGTGACTACATAAACACTAGAAAAGCAAATTAAACAAAGGATAAAATAATTGATAGACTGATAAAGAAAAAGGCTCCACAAGCATCCTAATAAATAATTAAGAGTCATGGGTCACAAAAGAGTTAAGAATTTTCAGGTCACCTGAAGTGAACTATTTTATGGCATTCACAGGAGGAAAAGAAGTCACTTTCTCAAAGAGATGGTTCCATAGTATGCATGGCCTCTGCTATTATTTGGAGGATTAGGGCTTCTTCTCTTACCAAACTAATCTAACCATCTTTTAAGGTGCCAAGAAGTATTTTTGCTTAGATATATACCGTTTCTGTTTGCATTAGTGAGTCTGTATTAAGGCTAATATGCCAGAGGAATGTAAAAATCTACAGTAGCAATGCTTTTCTCCTTTAATGGCTTTGTTCAACTTATGACGACTTTTTTGTGGTGTGATGAATTCAGTTTGGTCTCCTGGTGTGTTTTTTCCACATGTTTGGAAATCATGTATTTTTCTGAAAGCTGGTAGTCATCAACATCTTATTATTGGCACTGGTGTCATTGTTTTAGCTTTGTTATAATGAAGATACTTTAGTAGTATTGATAACTGAGGATCTTTGATATTAATTGAATGGAAAGTATTTTTGACCCTTTGTGGACAGGAATGCTCTCAAACTACAAACAAAATTATAGCTAAGTAGAATTTTTAAAATAGATTTTAACAGATTCCAGGAGGTAGGAACATTAAGATAATTCATGTGACTTCAAAGGTAAGATCTTTGTGAACAGCGCGTCACAACTTCCTAAGAGTGAAATTTTGAGCTCCCTCTACCAGAACCTTGTTTAACTGTTTCTTTTCTCCATGACACCTTTCTTATTGTGTGTTATTATATGTAGGTCAGATTCCAGTGGCTTGAGAGTAAAGTCTGGATACTGTTCTGAAAACTAGATTAAATCTGGTCCCCATGTGATGCAGGTAAAACTCTCATGAAAATATCAGTATGGCAACACTGATTGAAGATAATTTTAATTGAAATGATCTCCTTTGGGTTATATTTCTGTAGATCTAATATTAGTATTTCTCTTAATTTTCTATTTTCTTGCTAATGTACTTGAAAGGGTTTTTCAACGATTTTATAAACCAGTCTTCCTTTTTAAGAAATTATGACAATTTTCTCTGTTACTTTCCCTTAAAGCCTACACTTTGGCCACCAATGATCTGAGCCTTGATTTACACATTACGGTGAGCTTTTACATCCTAAACATATTTATTCTTTTGAAACTTTAATTATTTGGCAAGTATTTAAGTGTTGGGGAGGTTGAAGAGACCTAAACAAGAAATTAACAGAGGACTCAACTACAATCTACAGAGGAAATAATCAAATAAGTTGCTATTTTAAACAATGTAATCAAACAGGAGGAAGGAAGGGATTATTTCAGAACACAAATATTCACCAGCAAGAAAATAACCGTAGTAACGCTTAAAAAACTGGGAGGGTAGTAGTTAAATCTGAAAAATAAGGAAAGCAACTCAAGTCACTCTTATGACTGTATTATTTAAAGAAATATATCTGTATCAATCGTGAGAGGACAGGATGTACAGCTCAAAAGCGGGAGTCAAGATTTAAAAATGAGAAGCAGGCTAAAATTCTAAGGAAACATAAATATAAGATCATGCATCAAGAAGCCTTGAAATAGCAAAAAGGTTTCAATCAAAACGTAGTCGTTAAATGTTAAAATGAGGAGGGGGGAAAAAGTCGCTGCGGGTTATCATCTTCCACTGCCTGTAGCGGAAGGATGGAGTGGTGATACGCGGGAGCCGGCGAAAGACCGGATGTTTCACTGTCCCAGAAAGGGTCCCCTGTCCTCACATCGGCACCGCGAGCGGTCCTCTGGGAAAGCAAGCCTTTCTGATCTATTTCCCTGCACCATCCTAAAAGCACAGTCCCGCTGGGACCCCGGTTCATCCCAATTCTGAAGGAAACCGTTAGAGAGGCCAATCTCTGCCCTGAAGTTGAAAACAATCTTCCTCCGTCCCTAGAAAACCCCAGCCCTCTCAGCTCATTCTTAAGGAGTCCAAGCTTGGCCCTGAACACCCTCCAGTTTTCAGTTCATACCCACCCCTCTCCCAGCAGCCTTCGTCCTAAAAAGGCCGCCGCGTGGCTGGGGGTCGCCCGCCCGCCGGCCAGGCGATCTAAGCACCACGGCCTCAGGGAAAGCGGCAGCAGGCGCGCGCCGCGAAGCCCCACCCCCAGCGAGTGTGGCGGAAGTGGCTGGCTGGGAAAAGGCGACCGCGCGCCACCTGGCCGAGCGCGCATGCGCCAGCGCCCGCGCCGAGAGTGGTGGGGGCGATCGTAGCCCTCCCTCCTCCACCTCCGCCACCCCCGCCCCACAGTGAGAACCGGGCTCACGCCATCTTGCCCCCCCAACCACGTCCCCTCCGAACCACCCTTTCCCTTTCGACACTTTCAGCCCCCCACCCCGCCCTTTTCCAAGCGTGTCCCGGGCCGCCGCCGCAGAAACCGCACCATCTCTAACCCCACATTCTCCACGCGGGACGCGCAGCCGTGTCTACAAGTGTTCTTAGAGCAGAGGTTGTAGGGGGCATCGGGGGCGGGACGGGGGAGGACGGCGTGAGGGCTGGGGTCGCGAGGGGCGCCGAGCCCACACGTCTGGGCCCCGCCCCGGCCCCTGTCCCCTGGGAGGCGGCCGCGGGGGGTCCCGGGCGTTCGCGCCGGAGGCCGAGGGGAGAGCCGAAGCAGCGTCCCAGAGCCGCCGGCCCCGCGAGGCGCCCGGGTTCCCCCGCGGAGTGTGGAGTTGGCCTTGACTCCTCCCCGTTGGCGGTGGGCGTGGGGCCAGGGGAGTTGGGCGGGCGAGTGAGAGCGGGTACCGCTGGGTGTGTTAAGAAGCACCTTCCGCCTGTCATCTAGGCCGTGCTTGGGGAAAGAATTCTTAAAGAAGGAAATTGTTGCTTTATGGGCGAGGTGGAAGAAGAGTTAGGTAGTGTTAGAAGAAGTATAGCATCCTGGAAAAGGAAAAGATTGACTCCCTCCTGTCTGGGGTGAGCCCACATCTGTGATCCCTGGGGAAATTATTTAGCGTGTTTTTGGCTGGGTGTTTTGGTCTGTCAAATGGGGGTAGTAGTAGCCTAGCTCAGAAATGGGAGGATTAGATGAGATAATACAGGTTAAATGCTTATTGCAAGCTCCAAGCACTGATCAGTTGCCTGTTAATTACCTGTCATTTTTATCTCCCTGTTTTAAGGAATTCAGAATGACTGTGACCTGGCTTTCTAAGTGAAAAAAATGAAACTGGCCTCGATTTATAGGGGCAGTGGACTGTAATATGTGACACTCAGACGCCTTCCTGAAAATGTGTTATTTATGTACACGTGGATAAATGAGCTTAACTCCATGAGGTTATAAGACTTTAAGCTACCAATATTTCTTTGCAAAGAAATGATGATGGATTTATCTGGGAGAAGAGGATCTAGAGTCTTAGTATATGTGAGGGATAGAACTTTGGAAATAGAATTAAATTCGTCTATGAAGATTAACTTGAAGACCAAATTGAGTACGGAACTCATGGAATTTCTGGTGTATGTTTTTAAGAGAGGATGGATTTGACTGATATGAATAAATTTCCTGATAGTTACTATTTTGCAAAAGTAAAGTGCACTTTACTGTGCTATTACACGTTTCTTGTCTTTGGGAACATTTAAGAAAAGATCTAGAGCAGCCCTGTCCAGTGGAACTTGCTGTCGTTATGGAAATATTCTGTAATCTCTGCTGTCCTAATACGGTACCCACTAGACACAAGTGGCTCTTAAGCACTTGAAGTATGGCTAGTGCACTTAGAAATTTAATTTTTAATTTTATTTAAATTAACTATGTTGGGAAGATCCCCTTGAGAAGGAAATAGCAACCCACTGCAGCAGTATTCTCTGGAAAATCCCATGGATGGAGAAGTCTGGAAGGCTGCTGGTCCAACAGGACCTAGCGACTAAGCAAACAAAATTAATTGAAATATAAATAGCGGCTTGTGGCTAGTGGCTGCCTTGTTGGACAGCATAGGTCTAGAATCTAGGCCTTGAGACCTTTTCCAACTCTTGATTTGGTTGAATTTTAAGTCAGAGAAGCCAGTTCTTAGAACATTTGATGCCTTAGGGAATCATAATTATATTCAAATAATACCTTTCATTCAAATAGTGTAGTTCAAAGCTTGGGTCTGTTAATACTTATTTAGAGCTTGCAAATTAGAGCAAAGCATTCTTTTGACTCCTAGGTTGTACGGCTAATACTAGATTCATCTGGAGAGTGAGCATAATACGAAGTGGAGTTTCCTTTAACCATTATTGTACTGTATTGTGACTGGGTGTCCACTATCTTTTATCACTTTAGTTGTTTTCAGTGAAAACATTTCAACTCTTTTATTCCTAAAGTTTTTTCAGTTTGAAAAATGGTGTTTTTTGTTAACTTTTTGTATAAGAAATAATTTGATAAATTATAATAGTAAACTTTGAGCATTGGGCCATTGCAGTAGTTTTGTGGTTATTGATATTCAAAACTCTTGAAGAGATAAGTCTGAAATTTGGCAGTATTTTGTAAGGATGCTTTCTTTGAAATAGAGTTGTTCCCCTGATCACTCTTGTCAGGTAAAGCGGGAACAGGGAAGAACCCCCCCCCCCCCCCCCCCCCCCCAGGCAAATGTTTATAAAGTAAACTTTTGAAGAAAACCCTAAAAAAAAAAACCCTCACTTTATTTATAGATAACACCCTTAACTCTGGCCTGGTGTCTGTAGAGTGGTATCCTTGGTCTCAAGGCTGATGATAATCCTTGGATCTGGAACAAAAACTTGAAGCTCATAAATAAAGCATATACAGAGAATACCCCATTGCATACAAATCAAATGGATTGCTCTTATGTAGGGTGACTTTATACCCTGCTCTTTTGGAGACAGTCATGGTTTAGAGCCTGTTTGTCTCAGCATAATTATTAATAGGGATCCTTTCATTTTAAAAAATGTTCCAGTTGGGTCCACATAATAATATGGTCACCCTCCTTTTAAGCTTGTTGAAATTTGGAGTATATAATTTTAGGAGGAGTAAATGTACTGTGGTCTCAGAAATGTACTCACTTTAAAGTAGTGACAGATATTGCTTATGTGCATAAATAACACATGAGCTGTCTGGAATAAGGCCAGCAAGTGACCTGTGCGCCTAAGCTACTGATAATTAAAAATTTCTACTTTTCTTAGTATAATTAGATAGCAATCTTGGGTACTTTGGTTGTTGGTTTTCTCTAAAAAAATATTTTGTTGTAGAATCTGCAAAGAAAGTTGGACCATGCCAGTCAAATCAGAACATTGAGTCTTCTTGTTGAAAATAATACTTGTTTTACTTTATGGTGAAACTGAGCAATCAAATTAGTTCGAAATTTGCTTACCATGTTAAAGACTGGTTTCACTTAAATAGTACAGAATAACAATTCAATCTAAGGCATTATTGTGTTAATTGAATTTATACTGTAGTGGATTAAAATACTTTATTGAGAGTCAAACACATTTGGTTTGATTCCTCACTGCTGAGGGTTTAATGCAGTAACCCAGGTGATGTGTTGGGTGCAGTGCTGGGTGCAGCAAAGCACATAAGTAAATACTCAGTAAGTATTAGCTGCTCTAGCCTTAAATTTATTGAGTAATAGATCTGGAGATGCATGGTGGATAAGTACATTTTGGATTAGTTTTAACTAATTCCAAAATCCAGGTGTACACATTTTCTGCCCTATGATTTCAGTTGAGGTGTTTTAACTTTTCTGAGTCTTAATTTCCTCATCAGTAAAATAGGATTAGTACCTAACCTTAACATACCTCCTCACAGGATTACTGGAGGCTTCAGATGAGAACTTCTTAAATTGTTGTTTTTCAGATGTTAATTTAACTAGTTTAGTCTCAACTAGTCTACCTCCTACCTCCAGTAAAAACTGACCTTAAATCTGCAAAAACTGTTTGCATGTATTTTGATTTGTGAATCAGCACATACGTAAGATCATTCTCTTTTACAAATAATACCATAAGTCCCAGCAATGGTGCTTAATTGATCTGTTTCCAGTATATTCCCTGCACAAGACAACTCCATACTAACTGCTACGGGGAAAACCAACGTTTTCATGGGCACTTGATGTTTTCCAAACTAATGCTCTATCTTATTTATCCAGAGATGTCATTCCCACTTAATAGGTGGTACTGATGAGTCTTTACATTCTGGAATGGATATGTAAGATACTTTGTTTACACTACTGCCTCTGATAATCCCTGACTAATAGTGGATTTTGAAGTTTAAGTTTATGAATATGAAAATAACATTCTGTCTGGCATATAGTTTGTATTAGTTGCTGAAAAACTGTTGTGTTCCTTGAATTTTCACAGGGCAGTAAATATGTGAACTTTTTAAATTATAAAATATACATATATACATTACATAAAAATCTTAAAGTATACTTTTGCTATTTCAAATGCTATAGAGGTTTTTTGACTGAATCCTTTATATTTCACTTTTTTTCATATTAATTTGTTTCTGAATCTTTCAAAGACTACTCCTAAGCATAGTATTCTCTCTCTGAGGATATACATGTTTAATAGTAGTACTTTGGGATATGTTTTAAAGAAACTGTACTTTTGCTTGGGTTCATCATCATCATCATCATTGTGATGAACTGAGTATTTCTAGGTACCAGGCACTGTCCTCAGTGCTTTGTGGATGTTACTTGATGTCACCTTTAAGAGGAGTATTTTTAATCTCCTTTTTAAAGATGAGGGAACTGAGGCAGGGAGGTGATGTGACTTGCCCAAGGTCACCTGGTAAGTGTTAGAGCCTGTATTTGAACTCCAGAGCCCAGCTCTTTACCTGCTAAACCGTGAGTTGGCATAGACAGATACTTCACGACAAAGTTCACTATGACAGACACATTGTGGAGGACTTGTGAGTTAATATAACCAACTTTTATTTGTGTGTTCCTTGTGGGATAGTAGAAAGAATTCTGGACCAGAAGTCAGGGGACCTCAGTTTTAATCCCAGCTGTATCGCTAAATAGTGATGTGTCCTTGGGCAGTTCAAGAAACCCCTCTGGACTTCAGTATCCTCACCTGAAAAATGAGGGATTTGGATGAAATTAGTGATTTTCAAACTGTAGTTCTGAACTTCAGATGTCTTTGGTCCCCCCTCCCGACAGTCCATGGCGTTGCCAAGAGTTGGACTCAACTGAACGACTAATACTTTAACTTTTTTTTTCACCCGCCAGCGTGCATAGTTATACTTTGCCCATTATAGTTATAGTTGTTTATCTGTTTGCCTAAGATTTTCTTTTAAGCAAAGAATTCCTGAACTTAATTTTTAAAGTTATCAGTCTCTAAGAAAACTTAATGACAAAAGTCCCCTGGTACTACTGCTCAGTAATTCATATTTTAGTGTGTTAAAACTAAGGCACTAAGGTAGAAGATGGGTGAATTTTTGTATGTATGTAGGTGGACTGGATATTTTGGGTTATCTAAGATCAGAGCATTTTTTTATGTGTTAGATTTGTGACCTTCATCCAG